TATATTTATTAATTGTAAATAATTTATAAGGAAATTTAAATATTTCTATTTAGCCTACATGTAAGTCGTAAGCTGGCAAATAATGAATAATTTAGCCTAGTCTCAGCATACAACTAAGCATGCAACTGCTTCATTTAAAATGTATGCTAGCAGTTCAACAGGGAGTAAGGTTCAAAGAGTGAAAAAACACTGAAGCTGAAGTACTGTGATTGCAAGACAACAAATTGATTTCAACTCCCGTGAAGAAGTTTAGACCAGACAGTAAGTTTTGTAACTATAACAGAGCAGTCTGTTAGTAAAAAAATCCCAGAAGCAAAGAAAAAAAATCCCAACAAGCTTTAAGATGATCTAATGTTGATATGGAAATTGAGAGAGAGAATTCTCCCAACAGTAGTGAACATGACCCATTGACCTATACATTTCCTTTGTCTTGTATATTTGCATAAAGATATTGTATATAAAACCTGTATATGGCTATTTTCTGTATAGAATGCACACTGAATATGTACACAAACACGCAGATAACATCATCATTCTTCCTTGCTTCCATTTTCTTTGTTTTGCAAGATTTAATACCAGGAGAATTTGGTTTAATTTTAAAGGAATGGTCTTAAGTAATAGCACTTGTATGGTGAAGTTTTGTTTTTGCCTTAAAGATGACTATAGGTCATGGGAAGTTCAAAGAAGGGAAACTAGTAAGGTGGAGCATATATACCATCCACTTACAGTGAAGTTTGGAAATTCTACTACGTTTCAAGATGACTTTGTTCCTAGGGAACTGAATCCCAGACAAAGTTTTAAACCTCCTTGTGTAGCCAAGTTTTCAGACGTGCCTTTCGATAGTACTACTAGCCATCGCACTTCTTATGTTGCTCATCAACTGGAACCAAGATTCGTAAGATCAACAGAAGAGTACAAGCCAAGCAACCAACCCTTTGAAGATCTCACAACCCACCGGAGTGATTTTAAAGGGCTACCTGGACAACTTGCAAAAAGCTGCAAGCCTGAAAATGCAAAAGTTGGATCCAATGCTCATTTTAATGGAGTCACTGAATTCCAGGATCGTTTTCAGCCATGGTTGGTCTCCTTGCCTGAGGTCCGCAGAACAAGAGAGTACATTCCACGCACAGGCAACATGGATTTTAACTCCATAAGCCACCTTGATTATGTTAAGCATGAGATTTCTCCTGCTGTCCCCATAAGACCGGTTTCTAATGGAAGAAGAACCAATGCCCCTTTTCAAGGGAATACTACTACAAAGGAAGACTTTAAAGCTTGGGGCAGCTGTCGGCAAGAGATTACTAAGAAACAACAGGAAATTCCAAAACCTACAGGAAAATTTTATGATTTAACTACTTTCAAATCTCATTACATACCACATCAGATCATTCCAGCTCAAAGTTTCAAACCTGTACATGCTGTAGTTCCTAATTCAGCTCCTTTTCAAGATGAAACTATGTATCGCACAGAATATACTCCAAAGAAACAAGAGATTTGCCCAGCAAATTATCCATCTCCTCCAGGTTATGTCTATGTAAACACAGATTCTCATGGTCACAAATTCTTCCGTCAGTTTACTCCAGAATTTTCTGAGTCAAATAGTAATGCTATTCCAAAGGAAGTGGCTGTTGTGTCATAATACTTAAATGCAGTATTTCAAGCATCCTGGTGAAATAATTGGAATCCTACTTGCTCATTTTTTCTTTAAATAATACGGAAAGCAAATTAAATAATGCAAATTCTGATTTTAAAAGCATTTAAACTAATAGCTGGAAGAAAATCAAAGCAAAACCAGACGTTTATTACAAAACTAATAATAATGATTTGCCAATTTTTGTAGAAATAATGCATCTTACATGGAATCTATTCTTTTTTTATCATGCATTCTCCATCTCAAGCATATGTATTGTATGTTTAATTCTTTCAGATTTTCTGCAAATCAAATGATTGTATTTGTGAAATAGCAAGTATCTTTTGATAATAACATTTTTCATAGTAAGCAAATAATGTTATAGTGATCTAAATAATTAGCTGATCAGTCTAGTTTTTCATCTCATCAGTACTTTCAGTAATCTGATAAGATTTTTTTCTTTACATTTTGCTGCCCAAATAGCATCCCATGACATCTAGACATTTCTAAAAAACTTGTTTTAGCTTTAGTCATCATTACTTTTCCTTCATTCAGTTCTGAGGAGAGTATAAAGGTCACACTGTAATTTCTGATAGCAATTAACAAGAAGAAACCATGCTTTTTTTCTGTACACATACTTCAAATCACTCAGACATAAAAAGCAGGTCATTAGACTCTGTTTCCTAGTTTTCCTGATAGTGCTTTTTCAGCCTTACTTCCAAGGGAAACAATGCTGATGCAAAGATTTGGACCCATTGACACACTAAGTGTGTGTCCTCCCCACCTCAATAATTTTTAAACCCAGTGTGCAAGTTCAATCAAATTTCACGAAGCAATTTCACAGATGATTGTTTTTCGAGTTTCTAAGGTAGATGGTGAGGTTGCAGAGAGCACCGGGCTCAATAAGTTAACATCCATCCACCACAGATTTTGATCCTATCTGATTTTTAAAGCTAAACAGTCTGTTATCACTGCCAAAGTTCACTGCAGAGGTAGTCTGAGGGGGAAAATGGCAGAAAGCTGAAAAGGTGTATGTAGAGATAACAGAAAATAGTGTAAACTCAGTTAAAAAAAGAAATACCAGCCAAGATGCAGAAATCGCTAGACAGCCTGGCTTCAGTCTGCTCTTCAAAGAATTACTTGTTACAAATACACAGAAAACAAAATTTTTATAGAAATTGTACATGCACTGATTATGCTTCTGTATGAGATATTTACTATTTCCTCTATATATCTTTACCTGATTTTGGGAAATCTAGATGAACTGATTTCAGTCCTATTATGTTCATGATTTAAACAAGTCCCAATAAACAGTTTCATGATTAACAGTATTATCATGTTCTATCACAGTACTGCAGTATGATTTTTTCCACTATGGCATATTTTGTATGCATTGGTATGGGGCAGTCATTTGGGTTCTGAAGAATTATGTGCTAATACTTCATAAATCATCAATAAAAGGACTAAGATCAATGATGGAAACATGTTGAAAGCAAGAACTGGATCATATGCAAGGAACAAAGCTGAACTGAAGATATTAGCTGTGCCTAAAAGCATTGCATGAGAGAGCTCCAGACATTACTACAGCATCAGTTACTTTTAGGTAATTTTTGTCTTTGTACTGTTTTTGTAATATGACTTACTCTGTTAATGAAACAGCAATTCAATTCAACTTTTCTCTCTGAAGATTATTCATGTCCCCAGGTGGTAAAGACATGTGATGGATTGGGCATGAACAAGGGCAATGTAAAGATGTGATATCCTAAAAGCACGACAGGAAACAGTCCAATTCATTGTCATCCTTCTGTACCACAGAAGGAAACAAACTACAAACACCCTTTTCTTTATGAAACTTGAGTCATTCTTCGGCCACAACTGAGGAAACAAAGTCAAATCTTCACACAATTACACCTACCCAAGTCCATATCCTATACACAATCTTGGTGCCTCTTGAGAAGTTTTCAGAAGCTTCTAATATCCTCCAGGTCTCTTTTCTTGGGAGAAAGAAAACTCACTTGGAAATGCAATCTGAATCCATGAAGTTACGTGTGCCTGCGTGTTCTGCTGAAAATGGCTTCTCCTCCGGGTCTGTGAGCAAGCCCAGATGCTTTTTGTAATTTTCACAGCTGTGTTTTTTGTTCTTAAGTCACTAATCTTTCCCCCTGTTAAGTTATGGAAAGTCATTTGCTGCCACCTACCAGTGCAATACAAACATTTTTGAGAGGAAGTGGAGGGTATATTCAGATACATTTAACAGTTCCTCTGTAGATGTGTTTGAAGAGTTTTTTTTAGGGGGGAGGGGGCATATTCCCTTTCATTTTGCCCTTGATGTTTTCCCCTAAGTTTAACAGAGAAAGAGAGAAGCCTTTATTACATTACGGTTGAAAGAGCCACACCCTACTGATTGTGCTTCCTGGAAAACCATCAAATGATATTATAAACCTTCAGACAGTATTCAATACTTGAGGTCAACTTTTTCATAAGCAGCATATTACTGAAATGCAGACAAAATGAACATCAGGCTGGAAAACTAATATTTCTCAAAATAAGACCCATTAAAAAAGCATTGTATGATGTCACACTAAACCAAGATGTAAAAGCGGAAAAGTTACTCATGGATTCAATTGCTATTCTAAAAGTGCTTTTTGTGCACTGTGCTATACGGAATTTTTTTTTTTTTTTAAAGACTGTACAGAAAGAATCCATTGGTGACACAAAAGGAAAATTAAATAGACCCATGCGTCCTTGCCAATGTTATCATCTAGGATAACTCTGAAACACCACCATTTCATTGCTAGACATTTATTTTCAATTAAATAAAATTTAAAGCTTTTCTTGTTCATATTATTTGAGACTCTTCCTTCTAAAGCCTATTACACATACTGGATATTTTGAAACAAGTTTTTTTCGCATAGCTATTTGCATCACCTATTAGAGCTGTTCTATTGGGTCTAAAAGAACTCTGCTTGGTGCAGTACATGAAGGCCTGGCAAAGAAATGTAACTTTATTCCACCTTTTTACAGAATCCTGAATCTAGATTTCAATGAGTCTGAGCTGGTTTATTTGGATTTTGGCAAATTCTGTTCACCACTTTTTTAGTCAGGTTACATCTATGTTGCCTCTTAACAGCAGTGCAAAGCAGACTAATGAAATTGAGAATCTGTCTGATAAGCTGTCAAAAATAAGAAGTAATCTTAGCTTTGAAAAAATCCCAGAACTATGGATGTTGTAGGTTGATAAAATAACTTGGAATGAAAGCATAGCTACCATGAAAATCACAGTAATAAAAAAAATCTCAGGGTAATCAGTGTTGAATAATCAAACTAGACTTTATTTCAGAAATATTAAAACTACGTTCAAGAAAGCTAAATATTAGACATCTTCAGTTACTGTAGAAGCAATAAAATAATCTACAGAGGAATGTCATGCTAATTGCAATAACAAACATTTACAGCGCTGCTTCTGTATAGCATGCATACTTAACCAAAGACAAAATTAAAGTAAAAAAAATGCTATGTGTTAACATTTGAAAACTTTAAATATAAAGGAAAAACATGAATAAGAAATTTTGGTAATAAGAAAAAATATATGTCCAAAAATCTTTATTAAACACTGTACAAAAAATATTGCACTTTTAAATCAGACAATAAATATCTACAAAAGTATCTTACAAATGTTTTATTTTAATTTAAAAACTGCTTAAACAATCAAGACCCATTGCTGATTAAAAAGGTAATGATCAGGAATATCCTCTCCTTGCAGTCAGCCTTGGACACAATAGTCCACATTAAACATTTTCTATACAGTAGTGCTAATCTAATTTTCAGTGATGC